AACTGTAAATTACCAAATTTTGGTAAAATTTAGCCGTGGCTTTGAGAATTTTTACTAGTGATGTATTTTACTTTATATATAAAATCCTGTTATACTACGGAGATCATATGATAAATGATCGACCTATACTCTACCCTTAAATTTAATTTAGGGCATTAGTTTATGGTGACTCGTCACCATGGTGACTCCGTGATCAACCAATCATAATCAGTCACGTGAGTCACGTGACTTACAAATCACGTAACTGCTTTATTTTAAGTTTTTTTTTTTTTTTTTAAAAAAAACCACCCATTACACAATAAACATTGTTGCGTAACAAATCCACCCACTTTATTTATTATTAAAAAAAAACTTAGTTACATAACAAACGTCATTACATAACAAAGTTACAAAAAACGAGTTACAACCTGCCACTTACCTGCAATATTTATTCAAAAAACCCCATCCACCCACCCACTATTCAAAAATAACACCAATACGACGACTACATATCGGAAGGTTTCAGCGAAAGGTTCATAGAAGTTTTAGCGAAGAATCTAAAGAAAGTTCCAACAAAGAGTCCAACGAACAATCAAACAAACCTTCCAACGAAAAGTTTCAATGAATACTCTAATGAAACTTCCAACTTCGGCTTCAGCGACGATTTCAGCTACAACTCTAGCAACGACTCTAACAACGATTCTAGCAACGACTCCAGCAACAACAGCTTCAAAATTACGATTCCAGTAACAATGAATTACTCCTAGATAGAAGAATAAAAAGAATGTTAGTTCAGGTAAGAGGAAAATAAAACAAGAAAAAAAAAGAAAAAATGAAAGGTAAGGATGATAAAAAAAAAAAAAAAGATGAATCAAAAAAGACAAAATGAAGTAGAACGAAAAAAAAAAAGGAAAGTGAAAAGAAAAGCAATAAGACAAATTAAAAAAAGGGGAAAAATAAAGACTGAAAAAAAGAATAAAAAGACAAAAAAGAAGGAAAGACGAAACAAATAAGAAAGATGAAAGAAATAAAAGAAGACAAAAGAAAAAAAGATGACGAAAAAAAAAAAAAAGATGAAAGAAAAAGGAAGACAAAAGAAAAAAGGATGACAAAAAAAAAAGGAAGACGAAAAAAAGAAAGACGAAAAAATAGAAGATGAAAGAAAATGGAAGACGAAAGAAAGTCAAAGAACAAAGAAAAAAAGACGACGAAAGTAAAAAACGAGGGAAGTAAGAAACAAAAGTAAGAGACAAAAGAAATGAGAGTAAAAAATGAAGGTGAGATGAAAGAAATGAGAAAAAATAAAAAGAGGAAAGGTGAATAAATAGAAAGAATAAAAGAAAAGAAAAAAAGAAGATGCAAGAAAAAAGAAAGTCAAAGAAAAAGAAAGACAAGAAAAAAAAAGACGACGAAAGAAGTAAAAAATGAGGGAGGTAAGAAATGCAAGTATGAGACGAAAGTAATGAGTAAAAAACAAAGGTGAGACGAAAGAAATGAGAAAAAAAATAAAAAAGAGGAAAGGCGAAGAAATAGAAAAAATGAAAAAAAAAGAAAGACGGAGGAAACAAGAGGAATAAGTAGAGGAAAGCGAAAAGAACAAAAAAAAAGAGAAAGTAAAGATCGAAAAAACAAAAAAAATAGAAGAAAAAACGACAGAAAAATAAGAAAGAAGTAAAAATAAAACAAAAAGATAAAACAAAAAACAAAAAAAAAAAGAAAAAAATAAATAAAAGAAAGATAAAGCGAAAGAAAAATTAAAAGCAAAAAAAAAAAATCAAAAGCGAAAGAAAAAAAGAAAAGCAAAAAGCAAAAAAAAAAAAAATATAAATAATGTTTATATATGATCGCTAATCTCAAAAGTGATTGGTCGATCATATTAGGGTTGCTATGGCGATGGGTCGCTGTTTATAATTTTCTTTTAATTTATATGTATTTATTTTTATCGAATTATTTCGAAATTATTTAAAATAATTCAAACATATTTGAATTATTTTAAATAATTTGAAATAATTTGAATTATTTTAACATATTTTAAATTTTACTAAATTATTGTATTTAAGCTCTTGGAAAAAATTAGATCTTTGTGAGGTATACTAACGAATAAGATTAAAGCTTCTATATTTTTTATATTTGAAAATCTTTTAAAACCTATAAATAATAAAGCTTCACTAGAAACTGTACTAAACTAAAAGAGATCAGAAAAAACTAAAGCATGCTACAAAATGTTTTTTGATAAGATTGGAGATTCAGATGAGACTTATATAACTTGAATTTTAAATAAAATTTGGCCTTCCAGAGATACTTCACCTAAAAATATAGCATATGCTATAGCCGTAAGTCAAGCAATATTCAATCCAAAATATAAAAAAATAACTATGTTGGATACTGTAGTTAAAAAATTAATTGCAAAAAATTTATAAGTATTAATAATATATATATATATATATATTTTTTTTTTTTTTAAGGTGAGGTTTTGCCTTTATCTTTATTTAATAATTTGTATTGAGAATCTACTAGGGGTTTCTTTGGTCGGTAGGACTAATAATTACAAATATTTTTACAAGAATGAGACTCAGACTATAGACTTTAAATTCTAATTTATCTGCAATCTAAACCTACTAGAGTGGTTAAAAACTTACTTAGATTCTATAATTTATAATATTATTAGTAGATGTGCTAAATTTTATCCAAGAAGTTAATCATGTATATGCTTTTTTAATTGCTTTTCTAAGAGGTGGGCAGTTATTGTCAATATATTGTTAATCAGATAACCCACAGCTGCAGCTATAGGTATATAGTATTGTTATAGAACAGTTTTATTTTATTAGTTTATTATTTTATCTTAGTATTATTTTATTATTTCGATATGTATATTTTATTAGTTATTAGTTATTATTATATTTATCTTAGAGAAGAATTTAAAAGATATATATAATGATTAGCCTTAATGCTTAACGCTTAGCAATTTACGATTAGCGATTACACTTAGTAATTAGCGATTATACTTAGCGATTATGCTTAGCGATTAGCAATTATGCTTAGTGATTAATGATTAGCAATTATGTTTAGCGATTAGCGATTACACTTATCGATTAGTGATTAATGATTAATGCTTAACGCTTAACGATTAGTGATTACAATTAGCGCTTAGCACTAAGTAAATTACGTTTAGCTGCAACGATTAGCGATTAGCTCTAAAGATATAAAAAGGCTGAAAATTTCACCAAGTTAACATTAGACCTGAAATAACAACAGACTTGTTATTGTTTACTCCACTTCCCCTTTTCCCTAAATTCTCTCTTGTAATATTATAAGATTCTTTAGGAATAGAAACCTAAGGATAGGCTATCTTATTTTCTTTAATAAACATATATCTACACTACTAAAATTTTAAGCGTCTGTCTGTTTAAACAGTTTTGATTGCTTGACAAATGGTAACACAAATTACTAAATAGGTTAATATGCACTCTACACTATTAAAATTTTAAGCGTCTGTTCGTTTAAACAGTTTTGATTGCTTGACAAATGGTAATACAAATTACTAAATAGGTTAATATACACTATGTAGATCTAATGTTTCACAGCTGTAGCCACGAACTTTTTAAAATAAGCACCAAGCACGTATTGCAAAAAAACAAACATTAAGTGTATTATTAGCAGTAGAAAAAACTCTTTAATAGTTTTAGATATTTTTTAGATACGTTGTAACTATGTATATTCGTATTAAAATCGTTCTTAAGTAAATGTTTTTTACTTTTTTTTTTACAAAACTAATGCTTTCATTGCCCACTACACATTACCTGAAATTTGATTTGTATATGCTACAAAAAATATTACACGTACAGTATAGATACATATAGATACATATATTAAAATCGTCTTCAAGTAAACTATATATTAAAATCATCCTCAAGTAAACTATTTAGCCGGAATGTGTATTTTGGTTATTTGCGCATACCAAAACTACCCCCTTGATCGCCACCAAAGTTATAATGATAATAAATTTTGCCGATCACTTGATGATCTATGAAAAAGTAGCCAATAAAGAATCTTGATTCTATGTACATCACGCGATCAAAGAATTTCAAAAAAAAACATCTGTTTTGAGAAAATTGCCTTTATCTCTCTTTATACACTAACAAAAAAAAATTTTCTAAAATTTTACTATATCCCCCTTAATATCCACCTATAGTTTAGACGCTACCTCTAATATAAACGAATTTTAACTATTTTATCGATTAGCACGTGATCGGAACAATTTTATTAAAAGGCTGTGTGCCACAAAAATATCACATGTTTTTATCATGTTTGGGTCATTTAACTCCTATGGGTGGCTTTAGGTATAAATACAAAATTAGTACTTAATATTTTAGGTAAAAAAATTGGTTTTCTACTCTGAAATCCTTAGCATACATTTTTTTTTATTCTTCTAAACCCATAATATCCTTAGCATACAAATTGTTTAGTTTCATAGGTTGAACCCTTAATATACATACACTATTGAAGCATGATGCGCACACGTGATCACCAATCAAATCAAGAACAAAGAAACGCAGATACAGCATGAAAACGCCGAGCTAGAGCAGCTGAAACTGACGAGCAATGAAAAAGGCGCCGCCAACTTGATGCTAAAGCACATCGCCAACGTTGTGAAGTTGAACTTATAGAACAACGCCAACTTTATTCACAAGAATTCTTAGCTCAACCTCAATTCGAAACTGAAGAACTACAGCAGCAAAACAATCGTAATACTACTGTTAGCCGTAATCATCGCACTAGCAATATTCATTTACGCAATATAGCACTTAATTTTTCTGAGGATGCAAGCAATTATCCTGTTCTACATAAAATTAATATTACGAACATCAAAACCTATAACCATTGTGATGCACTTAAGCTGCCAATAGAAAGTCCTGAAATATGCTGCTCTAATGGAAAAGTCGTATTAGTAGAGCCTAATATTCCACCAAATCTTCTCCAATTATTTTCCAATTAAGATGATAGATCCAAAGATTTTCTTTATAAAATCTGCCTTTATAACTTAGCATTTACGTTTACTTCACTAGGTGTTAAGTACGATCAAGGTCTTGCAACTGCACAAAATGGCGTCTATACCTTCCGTGTTCAAGGTTCTTTCTACCACTGTATTGAATCACTATTACCAGAGGCTGGCCCTACTCCGCATTATCTACAAATATATATCTGAGATACGCAAAATGAATTACACAATCGAGCAAATGCGATTCCTAACTCAAACCTTAATCAAACTACAATTCAGACTTTAACAGCCATGCTTAACCAAGTGAACCCCTATGTTGCTAACTTTCAAAGACTTTCAGAATTACCTTCTGAAAATATTCGATTTTTATCTGTACATATTCATGCTAATATTTCTGGGCTTGATTAAAGAACCTATAATGCTCCAACAGCTTCTCAGATTGCAGCAATTTAGATTGATAGTAATGAGCCTTCTGATGTGATTCAAACGTGTAATATTATATTGTGTACGTCAATAGATCAACTGGTGCGAATTTCAGAATTTAGTGGATATTATGATTCCTTGGCATATCCGTTATTGCTTCTTTATGGTGAACAAGGATGGGCTCCTAAGAAATTCCATATAGGAATGCTTCACTTGAAACTGAGACAATTAGTGTTAATGAAAACAATAATGATGGAGACAATGATATAGATAATGAAGATGGCAATAATATTACTAGACGAAATAGAAAATTTGTTAGCGCAATAGAGTATTATACATATCGGCTTCAAATTAGGCCTTTGCACGTTAACCTATTGTTGTGGGCAGGAAGACTCTTTCAACAATACATTGTGGACATGTATATTAAGATTGAATCTGATCGTTTGAATTTTCTCTGACAAAACCAAAAGAAAATTCATAGCGAATTATACCAAGGTCTTCAGGATGCAGTTTTGTGTGGAGATGATAACCCAAGACATATTGGTCGAAAAATAATCCTTCCTTCCACTTTTATTGGGGGCCTCGAGACATGATACAAAGGTACCAAGATGCGATAGCATTATTACGACTCGGTAAACCAGATTTGTTCATCATCATGACGTGCAATCTAAACTGGCCAGAAATTCAATCATTGCTACTATCCGAACAGTCACCTCAAAATCGACCCGATATAACAGATAACCTTAAATTAATACAAATAATTTCAAATTAATTATGGATCAAAATTTTTCTATATGTTTTTATTACTGATATTTATATTTACGCTTCTTAAATTATTAAATATAAAATTTTTTTTGTTTTTTTTTTTTGTACTAATTCTTCATCTTTTCAAGCATATTTTTTTTGTATTAACTAAATTCTTGCATGCTGTGCTTTTGTACTAAGTATTTCTTTAATTAATTTTCTACTTTAAAGCCTGTGTTTTTCATGAAAAGCTTCAAGAATTAAAGAAAGATCTCTTTGATCGTGAAATCTTTGGACGTACTATTGGACATTTATGTTATTGAATTTCAAAAGCGTGGCCTCCCTCATGTATATATTTTAATCATTCTTCATCCAGAGGATAAACCAAAGACCCCTAACGACTATGACACTATTGTTTGTGCCGAGATACCTGACAATAGAAGTAATCCCAAGACATATACTACAGTTACATCTAACATGGTGCATGGGCCCTGTGGCAAACATAATTATAATGCCTCATGTATGGTTGATGATGGAACAGGAACTAAACGATGCAGCAAAGGATTTCCTAAGCAGTTTCAGAATGAAACAGTGCAAGGCAAGAATTCGTATCCAATATATCGTTGTCGTCAGAACCACTGTTATGTTGAAGCTAGAGTAGGAAACAGAATAGTGCAATTGGATAATCGATGGATCATTCTATACAATCCCTTTCTTTGTACTAATATAACTGCCATGTAAATGTAGAAATTTGCGCTAGCATTAAGGCTGTTAAATATTTGTTCAAATATATGTACAAAGGTCACGATAGGGCATTGATTGAAGTTACAGAAAGACAGCTAAATTCTGAAACACAAACTCAAGCAATACCAGACAACGAAATACAAAACTTTGTTGAAGCACGTTGGGTCTCTGCTCCTGAAGCAGTATGGAGAATTCTCAAATTCAAAATGAATGGAATGAATCCTGCGGTTACATACTTACAAGTGCATTTACCTAACCAGCAATGAATTTTTTTTGATGAAGATGGTAATCTGATAAAACTAATTTCATCAGAGTACAATCAACGAACAACACTTACAGAGTACTTTAAGATGAATGCTCATGATGTTGAAGCAAAAAACTTACTTTATGCCGATTTTCCATTGCATTATACTTGGAATAAATCCATTAAAAAATGGAAGAAGAGTGCACATGGAGGTTGCATTGGAAGAATATACATGGAGCATCCTGGAGAAGATATATATGTTGATTAGTATTAACAAGAAAAATGCAATAAGAAACTATAGACTGATTTCTTTGTAAAACGCCTTACCCGAGTATTATTAAATTATGCTACTATTTGGGTGTTTTATTAATTTAGCAAGTTAAACTAAATTAAATGAGAAAGTTATAGATCAATTTTTATACTAATCATTAGTAATATTTATACATACCAATTAGGTGAAAGATATTTTCTTCAGCTTTTATTAACGAAAGTAAAAGGGGCAACCAGTTTTGAGAATCTTAAAACAGTGAATAGCATTTTATATGACACTTTTAAAGAAAGTGCTCAATGTAGAGGTTTCCTTGAATGTGATAAAGAATGTCGACAATGCATGAATGAAGCAAGAGAATTTAAGATGCCTGACCAATTACGCAGTCTTTTTGCAATTTTACTGATATTTGGAAGTGTTGCAGATACGTATCAGCTATGGAATGAAAATTTTAATGCAATGGCTGAGTATTTTGCATATAGAGGAATCCCAAATGGTCAACACAGAGTTCAAGCAGTTCTTCAAAGTATAAACACTATTTTAAGTAGGCACTCAAAAAGCATTGCGGATTATGACCTACCAGTGCTGCTACCTAAAAGCACTATTGGGGAATTACCAAGAATCATTCTCGAAAAATTAAATTATAATATCACTCTAGAAGACCTTGACAAAGCAAACACACTAAACGTAACTCAATATATTATATTCGATAAGGTATTAGATTTTATGAACCAAGGTAAAGACGGTATACTATTTGTTAACAGTCCTGCTAGGAGTGATAAAACCTACCTCTATGATTGTCTTCTTGCACATACACGAGCCAGTCATCAAATTGCACTAGCAGTTGCTTCCTCTGGCATTGCAGCATTACTTTTGCGTGGTGGATGTACTGCTCACTCACGATTTAAAATACCTATAACTATGCTTGATGAAAATGCTACTTGCAATGTTGAGAAAGGATCAGATTTGGCCAAATTACTAAAGGAAACTGTGTTAATCATTTGGGACGAAGTTCCAATGACAAATCGATATGCCCCAGAAGCTGTTAATAAAACCTTAAGAGACATTATGGAAAATGATATTCCTTTTGGCGGTAAAATAGTTGTTTTCAGAGGAGATTTTTGGCAGGTTTTACTGGTAGTTCGCAAAGGTACAAGAGCACAAATCATTAAAGCAGTATTTAATAAGTTGTACTTCTGGAAACATATTAATGTCTTCACTTTGACTACCAATATGCGAATTACTCAAACCATGACCCAGAAGACAAAGAAATTCTCAGATTATTTACTTAGAATAGGCAATGGAACTGAGCCTATGGATGAAACCAATTTGATTCAGCTTCCTAATGAGATAGTTATTTACTCACAAAATAATAATAATCCTATTAGTTTATTAGTAAATTCTATTTTCCCTAACCTAGCTGAAAATGCCTCAAATACTAATTTCATCATGGAAAGAGCCATATTAACACCGTTAAATCAGATTGTAGACGAAATTAATGAGCTAACAGTAGTTAAATTTCCTAAAGAGCAATGCACATACTACAGTTTCGATTTAGTATCTGAAGATGCATTAAACCTTTATCCTATTGAATACCTTAATTCATTAACTCCTCAAGGTCTTCCTCTACACAAACTTATCTTGAAAGTTGGTGCACCCATTATGCTCCTAAGAAATCTCGATCCTGCCAACAGACTTTGCAATGGAACGAGGCTTATCTGTTGATATCTTTAACCATATACTATTGATGCTGAAATAGTGACAGGTACACATCGCGGCAAATGCGTATTTATCCCTAGGATTTCTCTCTTTCCATCAGAAGATGCAGGATTACCGTTTATTCTGAGAAGAAAACAATTCTCTTTACGTTTAGCATTTGCTTTAACTATCAACAAAGCCCAAGGTCAAATGCTACCTTACGTTGGTATCTATCTCTAGCAACCAGTTTTCTTGCACAGGCAATTATACGTTGCTATGTCGAGAGTTCGCAAAATGCGTAAACTTAAAGTCTTAGTATAGAATGGGGTAATCGACAGAAAAAATAGTATTTATACCCGAAATGTTGTGTTTAGAGAAGCTCTGATTTCACAAAATATATAGAATCAGTATTATGATTTTGCAATTATTAAATATTTAACTTCGTAATTTCTTCATACCAAATTTTTATATCTGATTGCAATAGATACTGTCACTACGATCTGCTTTTGATGTTATAGAGCAAAGCAAAAACATTAATTTATCCCTTAAATTTATTCTCTTTGCAGAGAAAATTAAGATACTCAAGCTTTTAAATGAAGTATTCTAAAATGTATAAAAAAATATTTATCAATTGTGTAACTATATCTAAATCATCTACGAATTCGAACGGTCGATCCTGTTGATATTTCATTTATCGTTATTATTTTATTATCCCGAATAAGTGGTTGATATCTGATTGTTTAACAGATTATCAAACCTACCCTTTATAAGCGATTATTTCTACTCAAATTTTCAACTGACGGAACTTGGCCATCATTTATAATAGTACTTCTATCGTTTCTAAATTTTATTTTGGAAAAAACTCTTTTAGACAAAATTATCTGAACTTTTTGTGTATTACTATTCATTATATATGATTTAATTGCACCAATTGTAAACTTACTCAAAAAGCCAATACTTAAACATTTCACTCTATCGTCACAGTTGAATAATTTTATAACTATTTCGGCAAATCATACTAAGCTACTAGATAAATCTGTTATCTACCCATGTTTTTCTGATAATTACTATTATATAATTTTTTTGCAGATCTGTCTAAAAATAATAAAATAAATTTATCGCAGGTATATCATAGTAAAAATTAATAACCAAATAAATAAGAAATCAAAAATGTTTAAAAAAATATAAATTAATTACATTTTAATATTCAAAATGTCTTTAATGAAGAAGTTAAATAATGAAATTCTAAAGTATATTTTAAAAATATATAAGTGACACACAGCCATAGCTTAAAACTTATTATAAAATGCTAGAGTTTGCCAACTAATTCTATTCTTCAGCAAATGAAAAAATTTTGTCATTTATAATAACAATTTCCGATTATGGTTTCTAACTTCTGGTTAGGAAATAAAACTTTCAGAAACAAAATCACACTATATCACCTGGTAATTTTGTATACTGATGCCGAATAGCTAAAAACTTGCAATTTTTGATTTTCTAATATTATATGTTTTTTTTATTTTATAATAATAAGTTTTTCAGATATATAATTCAAGATTATATAATTAATTAAAATTTATTATTATACTTAAAAATCTGTTCAAACCTTTACTGTTATCAAAATCAGGAATTGTGGTTTAGCTATATAATACTCATATATATAATATTTATTTGACTATCTTTTGTAGTTAAAAATTTAAATAGTTATATAGTATATTGTATTTTAACAAAGTAATTTAATATAAAAATCTTTAGTTAAACAATAAAATATTTATTAAAACTTTTTATAAATTTAATAATTTTAATTAAATTTAAAATAATAAAAGTTAAGCACAGACATTTGGACGTGTCTGGATGCTAGTTTTATCTATAAACTATTGTCTGCCCGAACTGTCACAGACAGAAGGGTATAGTTTCTCCAAGAAGCTGAAATTATACTTAACTGTTGGACACTA